GAGAGCCACAAATTCTCCCTATGATCCTCTCCTCAACTAGCTGTCAGCTTCACCCCAGGAAAAGCCTGCCTTGGTTCCTGATCTGATCACCACAGTCTAAGTGAGTGTGCACCTGCTGGACTTAAAGCCTAAGGCTTGAGACTTTTGATCTGACACTTGAATTAGCATGCAGAGGGAATATCTGTCATGAGCCTGTCATGGTTAAGTGTGTTTGCAGTGCTTAGAATTAATCTAGAATTGTTTGCTGTGAATTGGTTATGTCTATTGGAATGCCTAGCATTAAGGATTATCATTTTCTTGATTAAGAACCTATAGGATAAAGTTGTATGGAGTGATTTGAGTGAGTAAAGCATTGACAAAGGCAGAAGCGTGTGGACATTCTTTATTTCTCCCCCTCAACTGCATACGTTGCATCTTTTGCCCATCGTGACAAATACTGTAAAAAAAAAAAAAAGTGAAAAAAATTCAGGATAGTGGTACAAGTACATTTTTTTTCGGTACTAGGGATTGAACCTAGAGGCACTTAACCACTAAGCCACATCCCCAGTCCTTTTTCATGTTTTATTAGAGACAGGGTCTCACTGAGTTGCTTAGAGCCTCGCTAAGTTGCTGAGGCTGGTTTAAACTCACGATCTTCCTGTCTCAGCCTCCCAGTCACTGGGATTACAGGCGTGTGGGACCATGCACAGTGTATGAGTACACTTTTGCATCATTGTAAAATTGAAACACTTTGTAGGTCAAACCATCATAATTCAGGGACTCATCTGTATGTGATTTGTATGTTTGGTATATCACTGAAAGTCAAGAACTGAAAGAGGGAATGTTTCTGAGATAGAGAGAAAAGCTGACTCTGGTACATAAGGTGTTCAACAGTTCAACAGGATTGGCAATGGAGGGGCTTCCATTTTGTGTCATTCTTGTAACACTGCTGTTTCCCTGTGGGATTATGGCGTTTATGCATATTCATTCATTGCACAAGTAATATATTGAGTTATCAAGCATATTCTAGGCACAATGAAGAAAAAATGCATATAACCCTTGTTTTCAGAAAGCTAAATCTCATAGCAGAATTCAATATTCAATAAATATTATTTATGCAAATATATTACTACCAACTCTGATAATTCCTTTTTTTAAAAGTACAAAATGTTAAGAGAGAGGCTAATAGAAGAAAAATTGACTATTATGGAGGACAATAGGAGGTTCTCTGAGTATTTAGAAGCTTCTACTTGAATCATGGAAAGTCAGTCCATAGGAAGGGGGCTAAAGAAGCTAGAAAGCATCATGGGGAGGACAAACAGCATGTTTAAAAACCTGTGGTAGGAAGATATGTGACCTGTTAAGAAACAATAACAAAGTAAGTCCAGTATTTCTGGGAAAGAATGCAGAGAGATGTTAATGGAGAGGTAAATACTATGTGCTGAAGGTTTATCTTTCATTGCTTTGAAATTCCTTTCCATAGAGGTCTCTGATGGCTTCTCTACCCATCATGCCTCACTTTTAGCTTGAAAAGTTCACTTCTGAGCTGCTCCAGAGTATCTAGAACCTTTTGATAATTCTCTTGGATTCTGCGAAGAAAGTGCATTGGCTAAAATAAAAAAGCAAAAGATGTTAATATGTAGTTCTGTACTATAATTGAGATTATAATGAAATAAAATCGATTTTATCTTAAATCTTGGGGTTATTTGAAGGTATCACCCTGTATTTACACATCCCCACCACTTTAGTTAGCTGTTTATCTTCCACTACACAGTACTCTGGTGTGATCTTGGCCCTTATGTAACTTCACCTATTATAGGCTTTCTTACCATACCTATCATTCGCTTTCTTTTTTTAAAATTTATCTTATAGTTATAGTTGGATACAATATCTTTAATTAATTAATTAACTTTTATATGGTGCTGAGGATCAAACCCAGGGCCTCACTCATGCTAAGCAAGCACTCTACCACTGAGCCACAACCCCAGCCCCTATCATTTGCTTTCTTTTTTAGAAAATGTAAATGCTTAGTTAAATTATTAGTTTTTGCCCTTGCATGACTCTATCTATTTTGGAATAAACACTCTGAGACATTAATTCCAGCCCTAACTTTTCTTTAAACTGTTTGTGGCCTTAGACAAGTCATCTAAAATCTCTGAGCCTCAAATGCTTCTTTGTAAAATGAAATACTTAATTTGTATATATTAACTAGTGTTGAGGGCGTGGCCGCTCAACTAGGTTATCCTTATCCAGTATTCCTCCTAAATTTTGTGTTCCTTAGAGCTATTTGTGACTATTTCTCTTTTAATTAGGCCTCCTTAATGTCCTTATGGATAGGATCAACTCTCTCTAGATAATTTTCTTTTTTGGAGTGGCATAAGACATCATTTAAGAAATGATAATATATCATAGTATTAAGCCTGGATCAAAACACATCTGATAGGTAAAAATTTCCTGCTATAGATCTGGAATTCTCTAAAATGGGCTTAGAAACTGCCATATGTGTACCCACAGTGGGGAACCAGAAGTGTGCCAAGGAGTAAAGAACCCAATGAATATATATGCTTCTCTTTCCTGAAGCAAAACTTTTACTCAAGGATTTGGAATTGGCTTTATATTTTTTAAAAAACCACAAGTAGGTCTGGGATTGTAGCTCAGTAATAGAGCACTTGACTAGCACATGTGAGGCACTGGGTTCAATCCTTAGCACCACATAAAAAAGTAAAGAAAATAAATCTATTGTGTCCACCTATAACTAAAAAAATCCCCACAAGTATATTATTACTAATTTACAAAAGTCATGATACATTACAAAATATTATCTATAAAGGAACGTTTTGGACTCAACTGTAAAGATTCGGGATTTTTCATCTGCTTTTGAGACAAATTGAAAATATTTGCTTTTTGAAGCCGGGCCCAGTGGCCCATGCCTGTAATCCCAGTGGCTTGGGAGGCTAAGACAGAATCATGAGTTCAAAGCCAGCTTCAGCAACAGTCAGGTGCTAAGCAACTCAGTGAGACTTTGTCTCTAAATAAATACAAAATAAGGCTGGTAATATGGCTCAGTGATTGAGTGCCCCTGAGTTCAATACCTGATACAGAAAGAAAGAAAGAAAGAAAAAGAAAGAAAGAAAGAAAGAAAGAAAGAAAAAAAGAAAGAAAATATTTGCCTTTTGCATAATAAGCACTTTAATAGAGTATTATTTTATCAAGAAGGGGAAGTCCTGCTAAATGATGAAGTATGTTGGATAATAATGTATCGTTCATTATGAAGGTTTAGAGAGTCTTACAGTGAAACACTTGTCTGAGACAGATACTCCATCTTGAAAGTCTAGGTTATCTTGCATGATCTTGTTTAGAGCTTAGGCTTTAGAGTTTAGTCTGGATTAATACTTGATTTCAAACATTTGGATGATATATCACAATTCCTGATGACCTACCACTCTTCTGGTATATACCCCACTTCTGACACTTACTGCAACAAAGCAAATTATATTCTTTAAAATTATGGTGTATAGCTTTTCAACCATAGAGGTAATAAATATTATAAATAAGTATATGTACATATATATGTAGAAAGAGGTAATATATTATATCTATGGCTGAGAATATATATGTGTATATATATGAATATATGTTGCATTTATGGCTGAGAATATATATTCGCATATATTATATGTGTATATATGTATATATGTGTGTGTGTATATATATATATATATATATATATGAATTCAATATATTCAAGACTTTTTTCCCTTGCTTGCTGTGTGTTATTTAGCAATTTACCTAATCTCTCGTATCATCAGTTTGCTTGCTTATTAAATGAGTACAAAATATCATCTCTTTTACTTACTATGCAGGCAGTATTCTGTGTAGAGACAGATGATGTTTTGTACTCATTTAATAAGCAAACAAACTGGTGATAAGAGAGATTAGGTAAATAATGTGTTCAGAAATCAAGTTAGGATAAAAGAGAGAGATGGAATAGTGTAGTGTGGTAACATATTTTTAAAAATCCTAAAACTGTAAACAGACCAATTAAGTGTCTTCATATCAGTATGGTAACCAGCCAGTGGAATGACAATAAAGACAAAGACTAAAACGTAAGAAACACAAGACCCTAGGCTTGTCTATTCCAGCATCCTCTGATTATACATCACTTCCTATGTGAATAATTAGATTGTAATGGAGAACATGCCAGGAATTCAGCTGGAAGAACCCAAACCAAAATTTAAGTTCTCAATCTGGCTTAGAATCTTGATCTTTCACTACATAAATTCTATAACCAGCCCTTTAAAATTACTCTTGGTTTTTATATACTTTTTTAATATTTATTTATTTTTTTTTAGTTGTTGGCAGACATGACATCTTTGTTTGTATGTGGTGCTGAGGATGGAACCCGGGCCTCACGGATGCCAGACGCGCTACCGCTTGAGCCACATCCCCAGCCCGGTTTTTATATTTGTAAAAGGAGAGTTATATCACTTCACCTCTCTGATCTTGGGTGGATTTGCTTACCTAAATGAAAAAAAGAAATGAAACAATTCTAGAATTTTGTAATTGTGCTGGCCCTTCACTTTAAATGACTAATGGTGACCTAAGAGAGAGAGACTTCATGAACAGCTTAAAGTGGAACAAAGAAAAATGTAATGTTCCTTTTCCTTTTTAGGTATGTAAATGGTATTTTGGGGGGTGTGGGGGAGGGGATAAACGCTTTGAACATTTCCTTTCCTGTGGGGGAAGAAAAGGATTTGGGAAGATTAATTCCAAGCTCCTGTACGAATTCTAGCCTGCAAGGGAGGGTATGAGTCTGAAATATCTGTCTCTGTAACCTCTGCTTGCCTCCTCTTATCATCTAGGGGTGTTAGCCTGCTTGCCTTTTTGGTCTCTGGGTTCCTAAGCATCCCGGCCCTGCTCCCCAGGCAACCCACCACCCTTTGTTTCCTGTTTTGGACTCTCTTACTAGCATCATGGGTAGGGGTGTGCTCCCTGTAGACCTCATCATCTCCATGGTTCTGTCCCACCCTCCCTGATTATCTCCCCCTCTGTCAGGACACCATGGTATATCCCAGGACCAGACTGGGAAGATTGAGAGGTCTCACTATCAGATGCACCCACTGGCCAGCTGGTCAAGGACTGTGAAAAGGTGAAGGAGCAGGTTCCTGGGGGATATGGGGTCTGGGGAGACGTATCCTGCTGCCTGAGTTCAGATCACTATCCCTCTTCAGGCAGATCTGATGTGGAATTTCACAAGGAAGGGGGTGTTATGGGAATAATTAAAGGTAGCCAGATTTGAGGAAGGTCTCTTTCCTAGCTTGGACTGTAGCTTCCCGTGTGCCCTCCTTCTGGGGAGGCATTGTCTGTTTCTGGGCCTTGGCTTACCTTCCGCTTGTGAAATGCTAGGTTTTCAGTAAACACAGTCACATTAGTCCCAAATTCCTCTCCTCAAGGCATGTTTGAAGAACCTAAATGTTCCTTTTAGAGGGCCTTGAAGCACTTTTCCCCTCAACTGGGAGCACCAGGGCACACAGTAGCATTTGAAGAGCCCTTTAGTTCCTTGTCCCTGGGTCAGAGCCAGATGTTATATAACTTGCCTTTTTTCTTCTTGATTCTAGGTAACATCAAGATGCCAAAAGTTGAAAAAGCTGTGCTCCAGAATGACCCTAGTGAAACAGAGAGTGGGGCTCATAAGCCTAAAACACCAGAGCAGAGCCAAGAAGACAATACCTTACATTTAGGTGACCACTTTCTAGGTGGGTCTAGAATAATGTTATCACTTCTTTAGGTGTTTCTTCATAGCAGTTAGGTTTAAGGTATAGGCAACCCACTGCTTATGTGCCTTTAAAGGATATAGAGGGCTTCTGCACCTTGTATTTTCTGCCTCATTTTCCTGCTAATCCTTTTTTAAATTATTCTTTTCCTTGTCTTTTTATTCCTTCTATCTTTATGGATAGGATTTAGGCCTATGGTTGGCAAGTAAAATTCAAAGGTTTTGGTTCCAGAGAAAGAGGCCAACAAAGCATAATTATTTGTGTTTGATAAGACTTGAGAGTGATGTAGTCAGTTCAAAACATGGTAGATAGCATTAGTATTTTTTTTTTGAAGAGGGTAAGTGGTTGATCTGGAACCGAATTGCAATAATCAAAAGTATGTGGGGCTGGGGATGTGGCTCAAGCGGTAACGTGCTTGCCTGGCATACATGGGGCACTGGGTTTGATCTTCAGCACCACATAAAAATAAAATAAAGATGTTGTGTCCACCAAAACTGAAAAATAATTATTTAAAAAATTCTCTCTCTCTCTGATTTGGGGATTTAGAACACGCTCTAGT